GCCATGGGGGGTGGTCATGGGGAATGGTCATGGGGGTAGTCATAGGAGGGGTGGTCATGGGAGGGGTGGCCATGGGGGGTGGTCATGGGGAATGGCCATAGGAGGGGTAGTAATGGGAGGGGTAGTCATGGGGGAGTGGATGTTGCGGGGGGGGCTAGTTTTCCTTCTTCTTGACACATTCTTCTTCCCCATCCCAGGCAATCCATGATAGCCTGAGTAGCTCCTGTAATTTAGCTCCTGTTGGCTTGTTTGGCTGCAAAATGTTCCCGTTTGCTCTGCAGTTGCCATTTCAAAGTAGAAAAATCTAGTACAGGGGTGATACAGTGATTTTTTTTTCCTTACAAAATGTTGGGGAGGTGGGGAGAGGAGAACCACACATGCAAATAAATGACCATAGTCTCCTTTGTGTTTTGCTTTGCTTTGATTTTAAAGCAAAGTTTAAGATAAGTGGCAGGCTAGGAGAAGATATTCGTAACACATATTAGAGGAAAGTTAGCATCCAGAATATACGAATAACTGCTACAGTGTCTAAAAATCCAAAACACAACATGCCAAGGATATGAAGAGGGGTTCCCAAGAGGGCTGTTTTGAGGATTAAATTTACTGATACATTTAAAAATCTTAGAACAGGGCTTAATCAGAGGACAAGCTCAATAAATATTAGCATTTATAATTTTTGAAATGTCTTTATTGAAGTATATTACATAGCATAAATTTCACCCATTGTAAGTGTGCCATTCAGTGGTTCAGTAAATGTGCTGAGTCATGCCACCATCACCACCGTCCAGATACAGAACATTTCCATCATCTCAAAAATGTCCTGTGTCCATTTCTTGTCATTTCTGTTTGTTCCCAAACCTCAGCCCCAACGGAACCACTCACCTACACTCTGTCTCTATGTGTTTGCCTTTCCTGGAGATCTCAACAAAATAGAATCATACGATATGTGATCCTTTGTGTCTGGAGTGTTAACGATTATTACTTTTAAAAATCAAATCATTATGAAACGTCTTTATTAATTGAATGCTTTTCCAGTACATTCTTTAAAAAAAAAAAAACCCAATCAGCTGTATTTTCATCAGCAGTGAATTTACAATGTCAGCGTTGTGTGACACTGTGAAAGGAAATGTTACTATGGTAGGCGGATTAAACAGACACACAAACCTTTCCCTAAATTCCTTGGGAACAAACCGTGACCTGGTGTGGGTGGTCGTAAGGTAGTACACCACAGCAGGCGAGCGTCTGCTGCTCCTGAATCACCAGACTGGGGGCAGGCTCTTCATACTTCTCTAAAGAGGGACTCTTCACAAGACACGTGCCCTGTTTTTTCCCTTTCCTAGCCAAGGAAATCATTTGCTTTTACATCATCTCTCTTTTTATATATGTAAATGGGGGCGCTAGAACGTTAGGAAATCTGGTGCTAAGGTTTAATTGCACTCTCTCCAGAAGTTTAATCTGCAATCAGGTAATTCCAGATCTTTACCTGTGTGGGTCCAAGTCAACATTTGAGGAAAGGCTGCCTTCAATTAAGGAATGTATGACCTCAAGTGGAGAGAGAGAGAGAAACATCCGTTATGGCCAGGCCCATCCCCAAACCCAGCCCAGTGAGCCCTGCCTTCCGCTGTACCTGGCCCCTGTCTCCTTCACCTGCCCCTTACTGTCATTCCCACCTCTTCCTGCAGAGGGCTTTTATTCCAGGGTCAGACCCCACGGCTGGCGGGGCTGTTCCCACTGTCCTTTTCAGGGCGCAGCTCCAGGGGGGCAATGAGTGGCCAGGGATTGGGCAGGGCTCCCTGATTCCTTCTGAGGGAAACTGATGGTGCTGCTGATTTTTGTTTCTGCTTCAGATGAATTAAAAAACAAAACCGTGTGTGAAGACCAAGAGCTGAAGCTGCACTGCCACCCCTCAAAGTTTCTCAACATCTACTGGGCGAGCTACGGCAGGAGGACCCAGGAGAGGGACATCTGCTCCTCAGAAGCAGAGCGGCTCCCCCCATTTGGTACGTGGTTTCATGTGGCTCTCGTTCAGTGCAAGGGCACTGGGGTTCTGGCTCCCCATGCAGGGGACAGTACCTGGATTAGAGGGAAAGTCAAGGGCAGGGAAGAACCACCCACAGGGTGCCACCTCCTTCTGCCCCACATTCCCAAATCTGTCCATTGTTTAGTCGTTTCACAAGGAGTTACTGAACACCGACTGTATGCAGGGACTTGTTCTAGGCAGAGGGGAGTCATCAGTGACCACACAGGGTCTACATGGAACTGACCTTCCAGAAATGAACAAAGGAGTAGTGAGACAACAAACAAACAAAAAGAGCTCGCGTGTCATATTTCAGGTGCACACAAGTGCTAAGGGGGAAAGCACACTTCAGGAGGGAGATGGGGAGGCTGGGGTGTCTACAGAGAGGCACGGCCTTATGGGGTCACTGGCATGATGAGCAGAGACTTGAAGGAGGAGATACAAGGTAGAGAGAAGAGCCTGGACCCTAACCGGTTGTTTAGGGTCAAGGGGAGCTCAGAGAGTCATTCTTCTTAGGGATCTGTAGTCTAGAGCTGACAGATGATGGCCAGGATGTGGGGCTGAAAGCTCCACCCATCGAAGTCACCCAGTGTTATGATTAGTCAGGGATCTCCAGAGAAACAGAACCAACAAGACATACATACCTATATTTGGAAAGAGAGATTGATGTTAAGGAATTGGCTCACACCGTGGTGGTGCCTGGCAGATCTGAAAATTGCAGGGTGGGTTGGGAGTCTGGGAACTCAGGTAAGAGTTGGTGTTTAATCTTGAGTCCGAATTCTGCAGGATAGTGGGCTGGAAACAGGCAGATTTTCTATGCTGCAGCCTGGAGAAAAATTCCTTTTTCAGAAAACCTGTCTTTGCCCTCCAGGCCTTCAACTGATTGGTCAAGGCCCACCCTCATCAGGAATGGTAATCTGCTTTACTCAGAGTCCACTTTGAATGTTAAATGTTAGTCCTATCTTTAAAATATCTTCACGATCACATCGAGCCTGGTCTTTGACCAAACAATGGGGCACCGTAGCCTAGCTGAGCTGAGACATAAAATTAACCATCATACACCCCAGTCTGCAGTAGGGAAGCGGGCTGAACTCTACCCTCTATGTTACCCGAGAGAACAGGCCCCACGGGGAGACAGCCCAGAGAGTTGCACTTGATTCATCAAAATCTAAAATGAGCTCCACAGTGTATTAAATTGCTACAATCACATGTGAAATTAAACATTAATTTTTTAAAATAAATTTATACAAAACCAATATCTTGATCTGAAAAAAAAGAAAGAAAGAACGACCGCCCAGGCAAGCTCTCAGGCGAGACTAGAGAGAGAACAAAGAGCAGTTCACAAAGAACACGTGCCCCCAAGGTCCTCAGTCCAGTGTTCTGGGAAGGAAGGCCCTTCGCTGGTAGATGGCAGAGGGTCTTTTAAGGACAGACCTGGCAGCCCACAGAGACAGGCTGAAGTGGGCGTTGGATTAGCTGCCCTGGATTAGCTCAGGGTCAGAGGACTCCCATTTAACAGGCTGGGCTGCCAAATGGCGTGGCTTCCCATTGTATGTGTATGTCTCAGCCCCACCCTCAGCCCCATGCCCCGGTGAGTGACCTGGGAGTTCTTGACACTCTGGTCACTCTCAGATGTAACCCCTGCCTGTGTTCAGAACATCTCCACCCCCTCCTGCCTTGGTCCCGCTACTGCATGAGCTCCAGGGACCACTGCCTGGTCATTGCAGTCTCCCTACTCCCCGGCTTGTCCCTCCTACCCCACCGGGTGGCCAGATGCATCCTAAAAGGCCAGTGTGATCCCTGTTCTTCTGAACATCCTGCAGGGACTTCCCCTATGATCTGGTCTCCTCAGCTGGGTAAGGGGACCCTTGGTGATCTGACCTATTTCTGCAAAAAGGGACTCTCCTTCTTGATATTGGGGTGGGGTACCCCATTTCTCAGGCTTGCGAAATGCAACCTAGCCACATGTGTTTGGGGAGGCAGCACTAAGTCCCATCTGTTTCAGCCATTTTTTTGAGCAGAAGAAGTCCGTCAGCCAAGCACGCAGATCTGTACCCAGGTTGCGTGGTTTACGGGCCGTGGGTCACACTGCCTTAGGTTCTTGGGAAGTTGGATGGGAGTTGGGTTGAAAGGGAAACGTAATCAGCCAAAGAAAATGCTGTTCACCGCATTCAGGAACCACTGCCAAACGCAGGAGAGCGTCTGGCCCTGCGCTCTGCAGAGGGGAGAGGCTCTCAGGGAAGAGGAGAGGCCCTTGGGAGGGCTCCTCATCCTCAGCTCATCCCCAGCCTCACGTGGAGGCCTGGACTGTGTCCGCCTTCTAGGTCAGTATCAAGAGCAGACCCTTGGATAGCCCTGCTGACATGCTTTCCCCGTCACGCCGAATGCTAAGAAACCGTTTCCTCCTTGGCTACTGTATGTGAAGATTTTAAACTGCACTGGGCATGTTCTCCCCAGCAAACCATCCTTTTATCCCTCTTGTATAAACATGCTTTAATATTACCCCCGTTAGAAAGCACCCCTTTTGACCAGCCACCTCCCCCTGACTCGGTCCGTAAGCCCTCGGGCTCTCACACACTGAGCATCTCTCATTGGCAGCTCTGCTCCCCACTTCTGGGCATCTCTCACCTGGACCGTCCGGACCACCTCCTGACTGGCCTCTGGGCCTCCCTTCTCCCTGATTCCCTCCCTCAGTCCCTTCTTCACTGAGCAGCCAGAGAGAGGTTATTAAAATAAATCAGATCACAGCACCCACCCTCCACCCCTTAAAGCCCTGCGCTTTGCCCTCTGTAATTAGAATCAATCCGTTCTCCCAGCCATGGGTCTGCCCTCCCTTCCCTTACAAACTGTGGGGCTCCGCGTACTAATTCATAGCCTGGGGCCTTTGCACAAGCTCTTCCTTTGGCCTGGAATGTTCTCACCCCATCACTCAGGAATCAAATCAGATGTCCTTCTCGGACAGGTTTCCTGGGGCTCCCTGCCAGCATGGAACCTCGTCTCTGCAGTCCCAAGCAGCCCTCCTGCTTGAGTGTCTTCATCTCATCACTTACCTGCCTAGGGCCTGTTTCCCCAGGGGAGGGTAAGCACAGTAGAGACGGTGTCTATCTGCTTCCTGCAGAATTCGCAGCAACTTGAGCAGTGCCTGGCACAGAGTAGGTGTCCACGTGAATCTTGACGTGCAGGAATGAATCAGAGCCCTCCTAAGGGAGGTGCCCACACAGGGCTCCTGCAGGTGGATGGCTGCCAGCCCCAGATGCGGGCCTGGTGTCGTCACGGCTTCCAACCCCCCACGAGATGCTGGAAATCCGGATTCTTTTTTTTTTTTTTAATATGAAATGTTCCAACTTTTAAAACAGTGTGTGAGCCAAACAAAACATGCCTACAGGCCACATCCGGTCCCCGGGCTGCCAGGATGATCTCTGCTCTAAGTTACTGGAGCTCAGCAACAATCGCTTTGAAGAAGGGAAAAAGGCTATTTATTCTCAACCCTGGGACCTGACATGAGCTTGGCAGGATGACTGTCTAGGGCCGGGTGGTCAGGCCTCACTGCGGCCTCTGGAAGGTGATGTGTGTACCCTTCCTCTTGGGGATAAGCTGCCGTCTGGTGGAACCGAATATGCTCCACCTCGGTGCCTCCCTGGGAACACTCGTGGTGGTGAAGGCCAGCCGGACCTCAGTGAGGTCAGGAAGCACTGCGGAGTGTGACTTCAGCACTCAAATACGGAGGGAGGGCATTTCCAGGTCTTTCCGCAAGATGACTAAGAGGGTCCCTGTTAGTGTCCTGCACCAGCACCCTAAGTACATTTAAGGGAAATAAGAAAAGAGTTCAGCCATAAATGTTACCCATCAAATGAGAAGCTTTTTTCTTTTCAGGGTCTCTTCCAAGTCCTGGTATCTGAGCATAGAACAGTTTTTACATAATGGCAATTCTAAAACAGATACAGTTGATTGTGCTTTGAAATGTAACTTTGTATCCTAGGTGTTCTTCAACGAGGCCAACAAAATCCTAACAATGCCAGTCATTTCTTCATATCTTGTTGAAGGGCTATAGTATATCATTTAATTAACCATGCCCTAGTGGCTGGGGTATTTTACTGCTTCTGATTTTCAAATATTCTAAGTGATGTATAACGAACTTGCACTTGTAGCTTTTTCTTTCCTCTGGGTTGTTTCCTTGGGATAAATTCCCAGAAGTTTTATACTGAAAGAGGGCGTGGGCATATTTACAATTCTTTATATGTATCCCCAGAGTTCTTTCCAAAAACTTCTTGTACCAATTTATGTGTGTAAACAGCGACGTATGCCTCTGGGTTTTCTTGCAGCTCTGGCAGAGGTATGAATGATTTTTCTTCATGATTCCAATTTAATAGGCGTAAAATGGTCCTCTTATTTGCCTTTCTTTGAATATTAATGACTTTGAACATTTCCCATGTTTTTGTGGTTCTTGTATTCGCACTCGCACCCACTGTCTCTCTAGCCTTTGTCCTTTTCTTCCCCCCTTGTGGGACCCTTATTTTTTTTCATAAATTTTTACATGACAGAGTAGAGATGTTAATCCTTGACATGCTTTTTCTGCTGTCAGTCTCCCACCCACAGTATATTTTTTTCTGGACTTACAGTTTGGGTTTGTTATAGGCAGCTAGTTGCTTTTTTGATTCTGTGTACTTTGTATGTCAGATAGGATCAAGAGGAAGGGGCTTCATGGTGGTGGGGAGGAGGACACCCCTGGTGGAAGGCAGGGCATCTGCATGTGACCTCCCACCCCCTGTCATGTGTGATGTCATCACGCTCCCATGAGCATCCTCAGGGCTGCTCACGGCCTGGCTGATGGTCCCTATCCTAGTGGGACCCGAGCTCGTACTGGACATTCCCAAAGACATAAGGGTGCTCACGCCTGTCCACAGCAAAGCCTCTGAGCCCCCGCCTGAAGGAGGGTGAGCAAAGCCTCCATTCTGTGTGCAGTGCTTGAAGCTGGTCCCATCT